TGGCGCCGGCGTCCGCGTAGGCAGAGAGCATGGTGTTCCAAGAGATGGCGTCTCGCGCGGGCATCAAGTCGAAGAGGTGGCGGGCAGCGGCAGGGTGGCCGTTGTGGACGCACGCCGCGACCATGGCATTCCACGACACGAGATTCCTGGCGGGCATTGCCGCAAAGGCGTCCGCTGCATCGTCGAGGCGGCCGGCGCGAGCGCAGGCGGAGAGCAGCGCATTCCAAGAGGGCGCGTCCCACACGGGCATGTCGCGGAGGAGCATTTGTTTGGCGTCGCGCAGGTAGCCATTCCGTGCGTAGGCGGCGAGCATGAGCGCCCATGAGAATCGGTCCTTGGGCTCCGTGGCATCAAACAAATCGCGGGCGCCCTTGACGTTTCCGCACTTGCCATACTGCTCGATGAGCTTGTTCTGCGAGTACGTCGTCTTCCCGTCGCTCACACTTCCTGGCAACGAGCTACTACACACGCCGTCGCCGGCCACCTTGATCACGATGGTCATGGTATTTCATCTCTACACACAGACAGCGCAACACGTACTAACTGTACAAAAGCAGTGACGCCCTTCCCGAGGACATGGAGACGTTTCAAGACTTTTCTGCACAAAAGAAAACGATGCTGTGAGGTCACCATATCTTATCCTCTGTCTGTGCAGCAAAAAGAAATGGAATGCTCACCTGTGGAACAGTGCCTGGGCTCCCCGGCCTCTGAGTCGGTCAGAAACCTCTCCCAGAACACGTCGTTGAAGCCAACGCCCACGGCTCCGTTGTCAACGCTGGCACGCATCTCACCTTGGAGGGCTGCTGCTGCTGCGGCGGCTTTGGCGCTACTCTCGTTGTCCTCTGGCTCCGAGTTGAGGTTGAAGGGATGCTTTCCGGCGGCTGACTGGCTGCTTAACTCGGTCGTAACACCAGACCGTGGAGACAAGTGCCTTGCCTCTGGAGACGTCACGTCCGAGCAGGGCGTTGTCACCACGCTTGCGGCTCTGGTAGATGCCTGGTAATCCCCATCGCCGTCCCGGCTAGTAGTCACAACCTCTTCTTCCTCCCCGTCATACGCGTCGCCGCCTTCCTGCTGCCGCAGTAGCTCGCGGATGAGGAGCTCCAGCTCCAGCGACGACTCGTGCGGTTTCTTGGACGCCAAGTCCGGGCTGTTGAAGAACTGGCTCAGCTTGTCAACCGGGTCGTAGCGGACGAGCCGGCTGTTGCTGCTGGCGCCGGCTTCTTCGAGCGCCTTCCTCTTTCTGTGGCCGCCGATGTTCGGCGAGTGGCCGCTATTGCGCCGAAGGACTTGTGCCAAGAATCCCGGGCTCTGGATAGCCTTTGCCAGAAAAGAGATCATGTGTTTCTGGCGTTGCTCCGATCCCTGCACGCGCTGCCCCATGAGCAGCAGCTCCGTCTCCGTTTGCTGCTGCTGCTGCCTCAGCCTCACCAGCTCCAGCATCAACACGTTCTTATCCCGCTGGAGCCTGTCAACCTCCGCTTCCAATCCGAGCTTTGGCTCGCCGCCGCCACCGCTGCCGTGGTGTGCCTGCTGCGGCGGCTGCTGCTGCTGAGACGATGGCTTCTTTCTGGTGATGTTTCTGAGCAGGCTCCTGTCGCCTCGAACGAATTCCTCGTTTGCAAACTCCCATCGATCCGGATCCACCTTCCGAAATCCCTGGCCCCCAACAAAACCATGAGACCGGCTTGCTACCTAGGCCTAGAACAAACTCACATAGGTGTTGAGCTGCCGGACAAAGCTGGAGAAATTGTTGTGCTTGAAATACTGCGGTAACAGATCCCGCGCAAACTCGGGCGGATTCCACACCACGAAGCTCGTGCCCTTGCTGCTCCACGACACAACTGGGTCGGAGGAGGCGTCGTCAATCATGTCGTATGTCTTGGTGAGGAAGGGAGCCGGGGGCGCTGCTGCTGCTGCTGCCGCTGCCGCTGCCGCCGCTGCCGCTGCTCCATCGCGCTGCTGGTGAGAGCAAGAGGACGATGCAGTAGACGAGGTCGCGCACACATTGGCGTGCCCATCGTCCGAGGCTGTTGTGGCGGACGCCATTGTCAGCCAGGGAACAACGCCATCCAAACCCTAGCTAGAATGTGTGCTAGCTAGGGTACACGATGTGGGATGGAGGAGCAGCACGAGATTGTGGTGCTCCTCCGGCAATGCATCCGCAGCAAGGATGCGCGCCGCGGTGTGAGCCTCCACGCCGCCATCGGCGCAAGGGGTCTGGACAGGGTGAAGCTCATCCAGGACCTCCTCGTCCACATGTACGCCAAGTGTGGCAGGCTAGACCGCGCGGTGCAAGTGTTCCAGGCCATGGACCATCCCACCTCCACCTCCTTCAACATCCTGGCAGCGGCCTACGCCGCCAATGGCCGCCTTGACGACGCCAGGGCCACATTCGATCGCAACCCCGCCAAGGACACGGTGTCCTGGAACACGCTCATCTCTGCCTTCGCCCGTGCCGGCCGTGGCCACCAAGCCCTGGCGCTGTTCCAGGGCATGGAGCGCGACGAGGTGACACCCAACGTGGTGACTTATCTGGGAGTGATCCAGGCCTGCGCCAGCCTCCGAGACCTCGAAACGGGTAAGTCTATCCACGATAGGATTGTTGCTATCCATCCTAGACTAGATCCTAAGCTCGCAGTCGCACTAATCAACATGTTTGGGAGATGCAGGTGTGTCGCTCGGGCTCGAGCGGTGTTCGATCGGCTTGATTACCGAGACACGGTGGCGTGGAACGTTTTGATGTCGGCACATGCCCAGAATGGGCATCTGGAAGAAGCACGGGCAATCTTCTTTGGTGAGATGCCGCCAGAGAAACGGAGTGTTGTGTCATGGAACGTGATCATCTCAGCCTGTGCACAGGCCGGCCGTGCAGCCGACGCCCTGGAGCTTTTCCATGTCATGGGAGAGCAGGGGTTCGAGGCTGATGACGTTACGTTCCTGGCTGCTCTAGACGCGTCCTCTGTTCTGGGGGACTTAAAGAGAGGGGAGCAAATTCACTGCGCGATCATCAGAAGCAGGGGTAGAGTGCCGAGCCTCAAGGTCGGGAACGCACTCATCAGCATGTATGGCAAGTGTGGCAGCCCTGGTGACGCATGGAATCTCTTCTGCCGCCAAGAGACAAGAGATGTGGTGTCGTGGAACGCTGCATTGGCGGCACTGGCACAGAACGGGAGGGTTGCCGAGGCTCGGCAGCTGTTCGATCGAATGCCATGCAGAGATGTCGTCTCGTGGAATACCATGATCTCCGCACTGGCCCGTAGTGGGCTTCCTGGCCAGGCAATCCAGCTCTTGAGCTCCATGACAGCGGAAGTAAAGGCCAACGCAATCACCTTCGTCAGTGCCGTGGATGCCTGCGCTGGGCTTGGCGTGATTTCTGAGGGGCGAAAGCTCCACCGGCTTGTCAGAGAAGCCGGCTGCGAGCTTGAATTGAACGTCCAAAACTCGCTCATCAACATGTATGGTAAGTGCGGCAGCGTTGGCGAGGCACGAGGGGTGTACGACGGCATGCCGTATCGGGACGTGGTGTCCTGGAACGGCATGCTTGCGGCATATTGCGCTAACGGGCATCTGCGCCAAGCTAAGCTTCTGTTTGATGAGGTTCCTGACTGGGATGTCATCTCCTGGAACATAATGGTGGCGGGCATGGCCCGGGGTGGCAGGAGCCGGGATGCGTTGCGGCTGTTTGCTTCGATGGATGTGGAGGCAATAGAGACAGACGAGATAACCGTCATTGCTGTACTAGATGCGTGCGGCAGCCTTTCAGATTTGGCTGCTGGCCGAGAAATCCAGGGGCTGTGCACAAGCATCAGCAGCAGCACCAAGGTCTGGAACTCGCTCATCTACTTCTATGGGCGATGCAAGCGGAGTGACGAAGCCAGGAGCACGTTTGACAGAATGAAGGAGTGGGATCTGGTTTCGTGGACTGCTATGGTGGGCGCATACTCTCTCGGCGGCGACTTGGAGGCTGCAAAAGCTTGCTTTGAGGCGATGCCCGAGCACGATGTTGCAGCGTGGAATGCAATGTTGACGGCTTTTATTCAGAATGGATGCGGGTCGGAGGCACTCGCAAGCTTTAAACTGATGGAGGCCAGGGGCATCGACGCTAACGAGATATCTTTGACGTCCATCCCCGAAGCGTGCCTGAGGCCGCCGGCCCATACGAAGGATGCGGAGTTTGTGTACGCGAGAAGTGTGAGCAGCGGTATCCGGTCCGTGCTGATCGATAATGCGCTGATTAGGATGCTCGGAAAGTGCTGCAATGCAGCCCGAGCAAGGCGAACATTCAATCAAATGAGTGAGCGAAGCGTTGTCAGCTGGAACTCCATGGTTGCTGCATATGCCCACAGTGGTCATCTTGCCGAAGCGGGCGAAGTTGCTACCCACATGATCGTCGAGGGTGAGATGCCCAACGAGGTGACCTCTGTGATACTGCTTGCAAGCTACAGCCACGCGGGCATGCTCTTCCGCTCGATCGCTCACTTCGTGAAGATGCAGCGCGAGTTTTGGATCCTGCCAGAGGCTGACCACTTCAGCTGCATGGTGGATGTTTTGGCCCGCTCTGGGAGGCTGCGTGACGCTGAGCAGCTGGTTGCCACCATGTCATACGAACCAGACATGCAGGTGTGGCTGGCCTTGGTTGGGGGGTGTAACATGCATGGACATGTTCAAGGTGGGGCACTTGCTGCTCAGCAGGCCTGGGAGCTGGATCCGCAGAGCTCCGCCCCCTATATCCTCACCTCGAATCTCTACAAAGCTTCACCCGTGGTGAGAACGTAAAAAGCACTCGTTTTGTACGGCCCAGGAAAGAGAATCTCCAAGCCCATATCGGGAAGGGATACTTAGTTTGGTACGAGAGGTTGTTGCTGGCTGGCGCGCGATTCGTTTGTTGGGATTGTGGTCTGGATGTATGCATCAATCAATCAATCAATCGGTCCAGCTGCCATGAAACCAAAGGGTCACATTCAATGCTGGCTGGAACAACCACAAGAAACGAGCGATTTCCAAGTCGCGATCATCATACTCTCATTAACTTACCAGGAGAGGGTATAGTGCCTAGTACAAGCTACGCCGGTGGTCTGTCTCTCAGGTTTGCTTGGGTGGGAAGCTAGCGGCCGCAGCCATGTAGCTGCTAACTTCTCTCGACACCATGTCCCGCAGCATCAATCCCATGCGATCATCACCTTCCACGCTCATCGGCGGGGAGGCGTGGCGAAGGATGGGTGCCAGGGAGAGAGACACCGCCGCTCTGATGGCAGCAGCCATGAGGTCGACTACCTCTTCCATTCTCAAGTAGCCACCTCTAGGCAGTGATGCCAGATCCTTCTCCTGGATTGCATGAGCCAGCGAGAGGAAAGATGCCGGGGTTTTCTGTCTTCCTTCTTCCATGGCACGCTTGGCGATGGCCGCTGTGGTCGTATCTTCAATGGAGCCGGGCAAACAGAGGCTGAGAGATGTCGGAGGATCTGTTCTCTCAGTCGCCATCGTCGCCGCTGCTGATTCCTGGCCGAGAGGCGGGCTCGGAAGCTTTGATGCCGGCTTGAACAGTGGGGGAGGACTTCCAATGCGAGCATCGCTCTTCTTCGTCACTGCCTCTTGCAGATCCTGCTCCGGCTCGTCGCTGTGATTCATCATGTCACAGCAGCTGCGCTTGGTGCTGGCACGGGAGTCGTCGTGTCTCTCCCCAGTAGCAGCAGCAGCAGTAGCAACCGTCATGGTGGCCGCCCTCCGGCGCAGCGTGGAGTTCCAGTGATTCTTGATGGCATTGTCCGTGCGGCCCGGGAGCAAGCGCGCGATGGTTGCCCACTTGTTCCCGTGCAACAAGTGCGCACGGACGATGGCTGCGTCCTCGGCAGCAGTGAAGGGGCGATGCTCCACTTGCGGGCTGAGCTGATTGCACCACCTCAGCCGGCACGACTTGCCCGATCGCCCCGCAATGCCCTTGCTTATAACAGACCAGTTGCGAGCGCCATGCTGCTCCACCAGCTGCTGGAGCGCGGCATCCTCCTCCGGGCTCCATGGACCTTTGATCCTCTCCTCGAGATCCTTGTCGCAGCTGCTGGTGTTGCTACTGCCGCTGCTCGTGCTGACGGCACTGGGCTTGAGCACCTCCATCGCTCCTCACTCTTCTCTGTCTCTCAAAAACTAAAGGAAGACGAAGGAACAAATTAAAAAACGAAAAGAAGAAGAATCAAAAAGGAGAAAACGAGGAGCCCTAGAAACAGGGAAGCTTCATAGCAATGTAGGTGAGGCCCATTTTATATGGTCACAAAACAACCAAGGGCTGTTAACCAGACAACAACGTATCGGCCGTACTCGCAAACAGCTGGAGATGGCCAGGCTGGCTGGCCCGTGACACACCATAATTGACGGACGGTCCAGATCTCTCCGCCACCGTCAAAGTATTTCCACCTCGCCGTAGAGGAGGACGGTTATACGGCCCCGCGCCGTATGGTAGTTTGGCCGTTGGCGGTCGTTCTGTGGGACCGCTGGACCACATGACAGACCCACGGTCACTAGCATGCCCATGGATGCGCATCGCAAGATACGCCATACTAATAAGCTGGCACGCATTGGAGTTTCACAGCATGGCTGTGGCTTTGGCAGCCAGGAGCTTTTCCTTTCAAGTAAAAGTATCGAAGTATCTAAAGGTAATCTCTTTTTGTTGTTGGCAGTTGGGTTGCTGTTGGTTAGTGTGATCCTGACTGTGATCGTGGAAATGGAGGAATCCAAATGTCAAAGCAGGGCAAACGAACGAATCAGACAAGCCGCATCGTCCAAGTATAAGAATATGGCATTTCCTGTGCAAAGCAAAGAGCTTGGGAGGAGCAAGCAATGCCATGATCCATCCGCCATCGATAGTGTCACTCGCACTCACGCTGGGCCATAGTCCGACTTGACGTAGATGGGCACTTGCTCCTTTTTGGCGCGCTCGGCCTTGTCCGCCTTGATCGCCCACGGTGCTCTCATGTCGATGGTCTCGCCGCCGGGGAGCTCCACGATGCCGTCCTGGGCGGTGGCCTTGAGCAGCAGCTTGCGCAGCTTGAGGATGTGGTCGAAGAGCTCGCTGGGCTCCTTGTGCTTGAGGCAAAACGCGCGCTCGTTGTAACCCAGCGGCTCCAGCAGGATGAGACGGGGCGACTCCAGCTCCTTGGTGTAACTCGGGTCCTCCACCGTCTCCAGCGTCGGCATCAAGGCCGTCTCGGCAAAGTCGGAGGTGCACACCATCGGGTGCGTCTCCACCGACATGCTTATCAGGTGGGGGAACTCTATGTACATGCCCGTGTGAACCAGCGGATCCACGATCCGGCGCACACGGTACGTGTTGTCCAGCTCCCTGCAAAACCTCTCGTCATTCATTCCCTTCCCAAGAAAGAGAGCAAAGGCGCACCTTGCCTTGATCCACTCCTTGATCTTTCGCACGCCATAGCTACATTTATCCTCGCTTACCTTGATGTTCATGCGGTCCTCGAAGATGTCATCCTCTCCCTCGGACGATGAGGAGCTCCACCGCCGCAGCAGCCTCGCACACCCATTCCTCGTCGCCGCTGGACATCGCCTCACAAAGAGCATCTGGCCTTAGACCCTAGCAAAACCCTTGTTACACAGTTAATTCTCATTTTCAACTTGTTCTTCCACGTATGGGCACGTCCCGTCGTCTACGGTGGCGAGCGGGTCGTAGAATGGGTTCTCCTTGTCTGTACAGCCCGGGTTGAGATCCAAGTCACACTTCCACCCCTGCAAAAATGCACTCACACAAGCTGAGCCACAGCACGCTCGTTTTGCCTTGACTTGCCTCTGGATTGTATGGCGGTAGAGGGCATCTGTCCATCACCAGCACTGCCTCTGGGTAGATGGCATTGTCACAGGCTCCATCCTTGGACAGTTCGGCTGCCAGCCCCTGGTAGGAAGAGGAGGAAGACAATCACTGCTTTGAACTTCACGAGCAGTGTAATTTCAAGTACCTCGCTGAAGAAACTTGAAGGCTTGTTCCGAAACTTGGGTGGCACCGCCACGTTCAACTTGTAAGGCCCATCCCAGTCCTTGCCATTTGTAAACGAAAACTCCAAGCTCAGTGCTGCCAGCCAGCCAGCCAAGCAAAGCCGGAATGTGAATAGTTGTTTAATGCCGACAAACGCGTCAGGCACGTACTATGCTTTGGGAGATTGATCTTGATGCTGTACAAAGGAGCACAAGAGTTGCCGCGATCCTTCTTTGTCATGATTCGTGGCTCGCCTCCACACATAATTGGCTGGTTGAATCCTCCTGCAAACAAACGCCAGGATTTGAGGAAAATGATAGACCGCAGACGCTTACCGTTGAAGGCAACCCCGTAGACATCGTTGGGCTTCAAGGAAGACGCGTCCGGATTGAAGAAAATGATGAGCTGCCCTCCCTGCTTGATAATATATTTATCACACTCACTGTGCCAAAGACTTTGAAAATGAGAAGCTCACTTACAGCAGTAGGAGGCTGGCCATCACTTGCTTGCCACCAGACTGGAAACTTGCCAAGCTCGAATGCCGACCATGACGGGCGAGTATATCTGCTCATACACACCGCAAATTGGAGCGGCAACGAAGCAAAATCATGGCAAACCATCAGTACCTGTCGATAGTCTTCTCCGAGGCAACGGCAGCAATTCGCAGCTTCCGCCGCGGTACCAGCTTTGTCTGCCTGATCGCTTCACATTCCGCAAGTGAAGAGCTATCTGCAAACACAAAACAAACAGTGTGAGAAGCAGAAGAAATCGCACAACTTACAGAGTGACGATCTTCTGATGCCCAGAACTGGGTGGTTGCTAAGAGCTGCGGTGGCCATGGAAGACAGCCACACCCTCAAGCTAGGAGCCACAAATATTTTTCTTGCTAAACAGCGCTTTGTTTACAGCAACGGCAGACAATAAGTGATTTGAAGTAATGTTCTCGGAGGTGTACCAGGTAGCAAAGATGCCAGCATTGGAAGCAAGGAGTTTCTGTCTTGCTTGGACCAATCCGGTATGGATTGCTGTATCTCTAGCAACGCTTTGGTCACCAGAGCTGGCTGGGGAACTCCCTCCCAGCTAACGTAACAAGCGAACATGAGCCTCTGTATGTCCTCGCTGCTCCCTGACTCCCTGGGCCAGGTGTGTGAACTCAAGTAAGAAATCAACTCAGGTGGCGGTCCAAGTTGCTCACGGTCCTCGAATCGCCTACATTTCCAATGGGTTAAGATATCGTCCATCCGCTTCGCCAGTGACACGAGAAACGTTCGCTGTATGAGTGATGGCCCTTGTAACGCAGGGTCATGACCTGCTGCCCCGCAGTATGCTAAAGACACCTGGAAGAGCAAAGGACGAGATTTAGATCGCGAGACTAAGACAGCTCCAACCTTCAGATTTTGCACAGCAAGACAGGCGTAGAACAAGCTTTCGGAACAGTTCCCCCGCCCTGTGACTCGGTTAATTAGAGCTTCCACGGACGTGTACAGCCCAATGTATGTCTGGAAACAGCAACGTTGAATTGTACAAAAGAAGGAAATGAAAATGCTTGCCTGCAACAACGCGGGCTTATCCATGCTTACGCACTCGAACAAAGCCAGTAGGCAGAAGTCTTGAAATTCACCGCGGAAACTGAGAGAGAAGGTGGTAAGGACAAGAAAAAAAATAGAGTGAAAACAGTTTAACCTGCTACTGCAGAAAAGATGCGCAAAGGCTAGTAAACTTGGATCCGAAGAGAAAGCACCCACAAGCTCATCAACCTTCGACTGGTCCCGGATGGTAAAATCCGCATTCTCGTCTACCTGCGGTATAAAACGCACCAGTTACTTAGCTCATAAGAGCAAAATGAAAAATTACCAAGACCCGCTGTAAAGCTCGCGAAAGAAGAGAACGAGAGCCAATGGGATCATCTGCATACGAGCGCGCCCCGACTTTTCGTTTGACATACAAAACGCCTCCGTTGAAAGGATCCCCCGTTTCTCCATGTTCCCACCACGGCTTAGTTTCTGGCAGGAGTTAATGTAGATTGAAAAAAAAAAAAAAAATCGAGATAAAAGCTAACCTGAAAGCAAAAATTGCATATCTTGAGACCAATACCGCGGTCCGCAAACGCGAACTCGCTTCAACTGTTATTCAATGAAGACGCGTTAGGAGCGAATAAGCAACGAAGATGTCAACTCACAGCAGAGCGTTCGGGAAGTATGCAAGGAGAGACTCTGCTGAATGTGGTCTCGCAGTGCAAGCTCGTCTCATGTAGCGTCATCTCAAGGGGTGCATATACTAATAAGCCGGTATCCACATCCATTGTCTGCACACATCGCGCTTCCGTCGCAAGAACGTACAGGTGACGAAACGCCTTGCAAACAAGTTCAGTCTCAACATCATTAATAACTCGAAAAACGTACTTGAAGATGACAGCGATGATCATTAGGCGAGGTTGGAAATCTGGGATACAAGGATATGAGTAGTGCAGCGACAGCGCCATTGCTGGTTGAGAATGTAAGGGAGCCTCCTCCAAGAAACAAAAATCCTATTGCCAAACTTACCTGCGATGAAAGAGCAAAGGAATTTTTTTTGGCGAGATATTACTGTAAAACTTACTGCCATATGGTTCCCATAGACAATATCTGTGTCGTTTCTTTGTCGAAGGTAGCGCAAAAGCCTGAGGGTCTCCAGATGTCCGGTACCAGCCATAACCTAGATGCAAACCGTGGATAGTGGACACCGAAAGAACAGCTAGCACTTACCACACTCAAAGACAGAACAGCCACATCGAGACATGTTTCCAGCGTCCCTCTGTCTACACGTCGGTCGTTTGGGGAGGTCCCAGAAGCAGCTTGAGATTTCTGCCAGCAGCATGCACGTGAAATCAGATAGCCATGAATAGTCAGAGTCACCTCTTTCATGAAATACAAAGCATAGTGCTGTAGCAGCGTTTGTGCTTCAGCATTAGCCGTACCAGCATAGCGGAGACCTGGATTGCGATTCAGCTAGATGTCAAGTCAAGAGAAAAATGGCCAGGTTACCAATAGACAGGCACGCCCCAGCAAGAATATTTACGTGCGCTTGGGTAAGTGCTTCCATGTCTAAATCAGGAGTGACGTCTGCACCGGCGTCGCTACCCTTGGCCTGGACGACAGCCTGGCGTATAATATCGGGCACTTGAGACTGAATCCACTCCTCTGTGGCTTGCACACTATGTAAACCAGTTAAAACAAAACTTTCAGTATGAAGGGTCACCAACCTGTCCCATAAAATTAAGCTACGAGCAATCAGCCGAAGAAGGATAAAATCTGGTCTGACATACTCGAGTGCAAAATGTGTATCGGGTATGGCAAGTCTTGCAGCTACAACGTGATCGTTTGTCTGTACAAAAAGAGTTGGACAAAAGAAAAAAAACGGTCAATCTTTAACTACCTTCATGAACATGAGAGCAAGAGCAAGCGTTGCCCCGGGTGCAGTCACGTCCAAATTTACAATGGACCCTTCCATGACCTGTGAAAGTCATCAGTGTCTTGAGTTTGACGTAGAAAGTTATAGAAACATTAACCTGGCCACCAGTCTGATTCTGGTCATCAAAGCTCTTGGAAACGGATGAGAAGCCGCTAGCCCCATCAAACCTTCGACGGTATTCCTGCATTTCAGCCGAAGTGTTTCAGTGTCACACATTAGATAAACCCAAAGACTTACATCGGACGTTTCACTACCACCACACATATAATGGCGCAATCGATCTTCAATTTGCAAGTCGGCAAGACCCCAAGCATCCTTTCCTCTGCCTGCAGGAAAGTTTTACCATGTTTCCAAACACAACATAGCCATTTACCTAAAGTAACTAGACCAAGGGCCACACCAGCAGCAAGTGCATAGCCCTCACGGTCTAAAGAACTGTCACTACCAGGTTTACGGCCAATCTCCGCCTGAATTTATCACTGTTTAGCTCAAGGCAAAACACGAAAACGCATACCAGTAAAATTTCTGTCGTGAGGCGATGGGCTGATCCTTGATAAAGCAGGCCTACTGCCATAAGTGCCGCCGACTGAAGTATATTAGAGTGTCAGCAGCCACTTGACAAGATTCACCAACATACTTACCTGTAGCAAAGAAGATAACTCCAGCTCCGGAAACGATGGTGGGTGGCGCGCAGGAATGTGAAGATAAAGCATCTGGAAAATACGCAATCTCGTATAGCCAGAGGGTACCCCAGTATTTATTTACCTTTGACATGGCTGGATCCATGGTCCCTCTATGTGCAGCTGCCATTCCAAGAAGAATACCAACAGTTGTGGGGTCATGCTCCTAAAACAACACTTGTTGGACTCTAGAGATGTTAATACATCCATCAAACCTGGGCCAAATATCTGAACACATCAGTAGCAGCTAAGACTGCCAAGTGCTTATGAAGCCCCAGGGACATGAGAAATCCAGCATGCTCGTAGCTAGGCTCATCCGGTTTGTTGTATACGATCCATGTACGAGTAATTTTAGCCTGTGTTGCACATCAATCACAAGACAATAGTTTTTCTCTCTCTTTTACCTGACCGGGTGCCAGCCGTAGCCCAGCAGCAACACCATTATGAAACTCTGGCCACGAAGTGAACTCGGAGACGTTCCCCGCATTTACGTCCAGATTGACCTGCTCAAAAGCATTAGTCGCTGTACGTTGAGGCGGTGGTTACATACAGTTGCGTCGTGCTGTGAAGGAAGACGTCCAGCTAAAACCAGTTTAGGAATTGGAAGGGCCTGCAGCAAGAGGGTTGAAGCTCTCGAACAAGAAGTAAAACAAACCTCGGTCAGCAAAGGACGCAAGGTGGAGAGTGTAAAAGCACCACGTCCGAATGGAAGGGCAGTTGTACGTTGAGCCAGCTGCCACAGCTGTGCCTGCACACCAGCTTCTTCAATAAAGCCAGGAGAAATTTTCTTGTACCAACCTGCTGTTGAGCAACAAGATCCGGATCACTCACGTCAGGTGCATTGGCGGTCCTCACAGCAACAGGCTTTGATGAACAAAGAACCCGTCGAACCTGGAACGTCTCTCATTGCATCATGAAATTGAAAAAAAAAAGCCCAATATACCTCATTCAATCGTAAGTCAGAACCAAATCTCAATGTAGCCGATGGGGTGAAAATATGTTCCATCCCGTCGCTAGCTTGTCCCTCCATTGGAGGTGTCTCTGATGGAATTGGCTCGCGTTCAGTAAAGGGAAGAGTTGGACGAAGATGCAACATGTATTGTGCTGCCATAGTCACGTCTTTCGCACCCGACTTACGACTTGCAGACATGTAGGCTAAATCCTCACGGCCCAGAAGTATATAGGCATCAGGCGGCCAATCTGCTGGTGGAGATTCCCGACAACTGTTAAGAGCCTGAAAAGAGAAAAGCGAAAAAACTTTCAGAGAAAGAAAAATTATAGTTTTTTACGTACATGGCGTAGTGGGAGCGAAAGACCACAAGGCAGCCGATCCAGATGAGATAATCCAAAGCGTTCTCCAACCATGGCCAACACCGTCATCTGCTCTGCATTTGTTGCAGTTCCTGGTGCAAACTTTATGCAGATGCCAGATAAAAGCTTGTCACGGTTCCCAGATCCTAAAAGAACTTCGAAGAATCCCAATACTTTCCGTGACCAGTCAAGAGAACCGTCTTCTTTAGTAAGGAGTGCCGGCAAGCGACTGGTAGCATGTTTCTTTCGCAGAAGGTTCTCAATCCAGGTAAAATGATTAATGATGAGACCGCTTGATCTGGAAGATACGTTTGACATCACCCGTGATGTTACTACCGTTGGAAAGTCTCGAACATAATGATCAGCATAGTCGTACTCTTCAACTGCCACCGCGATACTGTTGAGAAGAACTCCCAGTTTCCACATTTCCCTGTTAAGAGAAGTTAAGAATCATTTGAGAGAAATAAGACCGCATACCCCCATCGCAAGACATCCAGCTTAAAATCTTCATAAACCAAGTGAAGCGTCTCTAAAACCTCTAGCAGCATCGAGGAGTAGCCTGATCGTTCATTCTTGCTGTTGTGAGTTGGACATAGCTCGTACCTTCGACTTGGATATGGATGTGATCCATTTCTGTGCCTGTTGCTTTGCAATAAAAACTCCCAACTGGAAAGAGAGCGATGCTTATACGAATCCGATCTCCTCTCACCCGTCCACTGCATCATGATCCCGGAAAAGGCAGACCAGTCTTTGTCAAAAGAGCTATCCGTTTTGTTTAGTTGGCCGGGCTTGAATTCCATCAAGGATCCCAAAACGAACCGGTAAAACGAAGGCCTTAATCCTTCTGAAAGCGCAAGCAAACAAGACCTCGTGATTCCTGATGATGGGATTAACTCCACAATGCATCGATAAATCTACAAAAGCACCAAAGTCACTAATTTGAGGGACAGAAAGAAGACACGGTTACAAACCTTGCCAGAAGAAGTCAGAACGTTGGCACGGGTGTTGACAGAATCAAGAAGCTTCTCGACGCGATGTTGTCCTGTTTGCTGGAGGACTGAGGCGGGTAGGACGTATGTACACAATGGATACCGCCCGGTCTAGAATAGAAAGATAAATGAATTAAAACGATTGGCGACACCATATTACTTGTTCTTACATACAGAAAGACGTTCCCGTCTGGTGCCAGAACCAGCATATCTAAACGCGGCAGACCCCTTCTCAATCTGTCATATATTCCACGTCTTAACCGGCTTAGCGCGAGAAGCAAATTATCACTTACGTTGGTTGACTGGCAACGATTGGAACGGCAGAGACTGCCGAAATACTCCATGCGACATCCGCTGCGGGTTCTGGTGCCCGAGAAAGTTTTATTGCAAAGAGTCTTTTGGCATCCTTGATAACAAAGCAAACCAAAGGCTCCCTATCATCATCTGTGGCGATGAACACCTGCATAAGTCGTAAGCCTCACAAACACACTGCATCACACACGCACCTGCGCTGCTTGAGGGTTGCTGCCTTGCTCCCGCCAACATTGCAGCAGGTACATAGAGTTGGATCGCTCTAGTGTCCGACCTTGTTCAAGACGAGAATTGGTGGATTTGACTTCCCACACAGTGTGCTGTTTGCGACCTGAGAGTTGCCACTCAGTTACCCCAAGAACGAATAAAGAGAGGCAAACCTGAGTGATACGACACAGCATATGGTAAACGTCCACTAGTCCAGATTATTTGCTCATCTGAGTCCACCAGCGACTGAATTCTCCCCGAAACTTCAACACATAATGCCTATTGTTTGAGAATCACAAAACAATTACGTTCACGTCGGTTGATGGAGGAGCAAACGACGACATACCTCAGGCTCTTCCAAGTTGTGTTGCAAGGTGAAGTAGACAGAACCACTGGTTTCGGCAGCCGGGGAAACAGAGTATGGCACAGCTTCAGCCGCACGCTGCAAAAGTAGACCGGAAGGCATTGGCCACATAGAAGACATTGCAGAGGAAAACGGGACCGAGTTGAATTCACCTGGAAAAGGTCCCTCTCTTGAGTCAAGGACCTAGCTAAACAAAATGATGGACGAACCGGAAGGGGTGTATGTCGACAGTGAGTTCGAGTGCAAGATGCAAAGAAGGGGTTCCGGTGTGGACTCCATGCTACACCAGCATGCCTGGAAGAAGAAGAAAAAACGATCGATTGTGGTGTGTATGTGGTGTTGTGTACCTTTAAGACGGTCGAAGATGCAGAAAAACGTTTTCGAACATGATGCCCAGCACTCCATACAACACTGGAGGCCCAGATGGATCATATTAGCAGCAGGAAACAAAATGTGGTGGAGGACTGCTTACACATTGTCGCGGATGAAGATTTCCTCCTCGTAATGATTGCCGCAGCCAGAGACGACCGCCTGTTCCACCCCATCCCCGTGCGCTCTGGCGACGCCAGGATCGAACAAGAAGTAGCTGTCATTCGATCCAGCTGCTGCGCCGACTGCCGCCTCCGCTCGCCGGCCAAAGGGCTCAAACTCGCTCAGGACACAAAATGCCCTCCCCATTTTCCTAGGGCTTTGGAGGGAAGATAAACCCTAAAGACCGCTACCTATAACTATAATACCTGGATTTCTATCATACAAAAATCGCGGGAATGCAATGCAGCTGGAAGGAAGCGAGATATTTCGGTGGCATCAAAAGCATTGGCATTTGGCACGGCTGGACAAAACGAACGAAACACGTCACGCTCGAAAGAAATTTTTTTACAGCCTGGGGACACCCAGGCAACAAAATTTACATTCGAGAGAGTACTTTTACCTCAGCAGTGCCAGCCAGGAGAAAGAGAGAAGGCTGCCTTTTTTACCGTTCCCAATCATACCCGCTGGCACCTGGCAACCATTTCAAATCGCTTTTCAAGCCCCACCTTTAAATAATCCTCCCTGGAGCCACCTGGCATGCTCGTGTGCGCGGGAGAGCCGACGTGGCGGCATCCTGTCGCTGAGCTGGCGGCGAGCCGCCTCAAATTCTAGGGCTAGGGCAGAGCGGGAGTATAAAATACAAGGCCACAATGCCTCTTGTGCAGTGCAGCTGGCATTCTTCCCTCTTCTTCTTCTTCTTCTTCTTCCTCTTTCCATTTCTCTTCTTCTCCCCTCTAGAGACCTCAGCGATGCCGATGCCGTCTTCTTCTTCTCTCCCGATGATCTTCGCCTTGCTCTCGCTGCTCGCCCCATCCTACATTCTCGTGGATGGCCGCGGGCTTGCTCTTGCGGCTACTGCTCGCTCGTTCTCGCCCTTCCGGCCGTGGCCCAAGGACTCCGCCAAGTACTCCGCCACCGCCGCGGCGCTGGAGAGCTCCAAGGCGTTCGAGGGATCATCCGACTACGTGCACATGAAATACCATATGGGTCCTGTCCTCTCGCCCAAGATGCACGTCTACATTGTGTGGTATGGCGCTTGGGACGCGAGCGACAAGGCCATCATCAAGGACTTCTTGCTCTCCATCTCCACCCACAAGCTCGAGGCCCCCAGCGTGGCCAAGTGGTGGCGGACCGTCCGCCTCTACACGGACCAGACCGGGCACAACATCACCGACTCGGTGATCATCGGCGCGGAGCACGACGCCCACTACTCGCACGGCCACTCGCTGACCCGGATGAGCGTCCAGCAGGTGCTCAAGAGCGCGCTGGCCGAGAACAATGGCTCCCTCCCCGTTAACTCCCACGGCGGCCTCTACCTCCTCCTCTCCTCCGAGGACGTGCTGATGCAGGAGTTTTGCCGGGCCGTGTGTGGATTCCACTACTTCACCTTCCCCTCCATCGTCGGCTACACGCTCCCCTACGCGTGGGTGGGCAACTCGGGCAAGCAGTGCCCCGAGGTGTGCGCCTATCCCTTCGCCATCCCGTCGTACATGCCGCACACGCAGCCCATGAAACCGCCCAATGCGAACCGGGGCGTCGACGGCATGATCAGCGTCATCGGCCACGAGCTCGCCGAGATGTCGTCCAACCCGCTCATCAACGCCTGGTACGCGGGCACCGATCCCACCGCGCCCACCGAGATCGCGGACCTGTGCGAGGGGATGTATGGCACCGGCGCCGGCGGCGGCTACACGGGATCTGTTCTTACGGATGACAAGGGCGCCAGCTACAATCTCAATGGCATCCATGGCCGAAAGTATTTGGTCCAGTGGGTGTGGAGTCCCGTCCTCAGCGCTTGCTTCGGCCCCAATGCGCAGGACTAGAGCGCGAGCGAGCTCTCGGGATTGCCATCGACATCGTCATCATCATCGAATCACAGCACTCGGAGCATCGCTTCCTTCTTTTTTTCTTTGTTTTTCCTCTTGTTGCTGTCTGTACATACATAGAGCTCTAGCCTAGGGAGAGGAGAGGAGTTTTTGAAAGCATATGTGATGTTGAGGCAAGAGGCAAGGTCCAGTTTTTGATACTAAAAAAGAAACAACCACATTGAGATTGTCAATTGATCAAAGTCATGTCCACTTACTTGCAGACCATTGCACTGACGAGGGAAAGGAAATGGACGTCAAACACGCAGGGCTGAGGCACACGGACGCTGCGAGCGAGCGAGAGCAACGAGGCAAGCTTCACGTTGCTAAACGAAATGGTCAGAAGCGAGCAGGGAAAAGAAAAAGGGATTGTGGTTGCCTGCCATGCATGTGAGTAAAATATGTCCCTGTGTCTCTTACCTGGCATGCACCGAGCGAGCAGACCCGCTTATCGCTGGGCTTTGCTTGCCTTTGCTTAACAGTAAGTAGCCAGATGCCCAAGAGCGGCATTTGCGCAGGCTGGCATTTAGAAACCCTCCTAGGGTAATTGGAAACTGTTGTCATGCTCAGAAGGTGGCTGCATTGCGAAACAGCTCAGCGAAGGGTTGGGTCCGCTTCTCTGTCCCTGTCTGACCACAAGACGACCAAGCTCAAAGAGGACTCCCCGGCGCCTGCGGCCAAGAAGAAGAGCAAGAAGAAGAAGAAGGCCAAGAAAACTGCGGAGCCTACTCCCGAGCTCGACGAGGCAAAGGTCCCCCCAAGTGCTAACGCCGACCACACTGCCTCGTACGTGGATTTGCTACGGAAATGCAGCAGCCGCGCTCACTTGCCCGATCTCCGGCAGCTCCACTCGCAGCTAGTCGGAAACGGGTATGCACGGCGCCCCGGCATTGCCAGCAAGCTCATCCAGATGTATGGCCGATGCGGCAGCCTCAGCGACGCGCGGCTCGTCTTCGACAGCATTGCCTCCAAGGATCGCAGCATCGACCTCTGCAACGCCATGATCACGACTTGCTCGCAGAACGGGGACGCGGCGGGTGCGCACACCGTGTTTCAGAGCATGCCCAAGAGCAGGAAGATGCGCACAGACGACCTCACCGCCTCCAACAGCATGATCGCTGCCTACGGCAAGGCCAAATCTGTGGCCGACGCCAAGCGCCTGTTTGATCGCATGGAGCGGAGGGATGAAGTCACCTGGACTGCCGTGGTTGCAGTGTATGCCCAAAACGGGCATAGCAGGGACGCCAAGCTGCTCTTCGATGCGATGCCGCGGCGGGGCATCATCGTGGCTACGGCGATGCTGGGCGTGTGCGCTCGGGGCGGCCAGGCACACCAGGTGTGGGACCTGTTCACGGAGATGGAGGGACGCGACGTCTTCTCGTGGGGGGTGCTCATCTCGGTGCTGTCGCGCCACGGCCGTATGCAAGACGCGCGCTTCGTCTTCGACAAGATGCCGCTCCGCAGCACAGTGTCATGGACCACCACCATCACCGCGTATGCCAAGTGCGGGGACCTGGACGAGGCCCGCAGGCTGTTTGACGCAATGCCTCAGCCGGATGTTATCACCTGGACGTCGCTCATGACGGCGTACGCGCAGGGCGGCCTGAGCAGGGAGGCGGTGGAGCTGTTCAAGCTCATGGACCTCGAGGGCGTGGAGGCGGACAAGTACAGCTTCTCCATCGTGCTGGACGCGTGCGCGAGGCTGTCGGATGTGGCCGAGGGCCGCAGGGTGCACCGGACCATCGCCGAGCTCGGCCCCATGGACGTGGTGGTGACCAACTCGCTGCTCAACATGTATGGCAAGTGCGGCAACATGGCGGAGGCGGTGGCGGCGTTCGAGGGCGTGGCGGCGACGCAGCGGGTGGTGGCCACCTGGAACGCGCTGATCGCCGCCTACACCGAGAACGGGTGGCACGAGTCGGCATTCGGGGCGTTCCGGGCGCTCAACCTCGACGGCGTCGTGCAACCCAACGCCATCACCTTCATTGGCATCTTCACGGCGTGCAGCCACACGGGCAAGCTCGAGGACGCCCGCGACTACTTCCTGTGCATGGCTCCCGACTTCGGGGTGACGCCGGTGGCGGACCACTACGTGTGCATGTCGGACCTGCTGGGCCGCGTCGGGAGGCTTGTGGAGAGCGAGGAGCTCATCAGCAGCATGCCATTCCACCCGGATCCGGTGGCGTGGCTGGGCTTGATGGGCTCGTGCCGGACACACCTCAATGCCGACGTTGCGGAGCGAGCGGCGGAGCATGTCTACGTCTCGGACCCCGGCTGTCCCTCGCCGTACATTCTCCTGTCCAACATCTATGCAGCGCTGGGGAGGACCAAGGATTTGCTGCGCATCCGGAGGCTCATGAAGATGAGGGGCGTCAAGAACAACCAAGCGCTGGCCTACGTGCAAGTCAAGGACCGCCTTGTGCCCTTCGCAGTTGCCCGGTGGACCAAGAAATTCTACAAGGACCACTGCAGCAGGAGTGAGTGACTAAGTACCCATCATCACCTTTTGATCCAAGTCCACTACACTAGTTTATCAAGTGATCAGTGCGCGACAAGCAACATATTCTACAAGTGAGGCGTCGCGGTCGTGGCCAGATGATAGGAGCATTTGTAAAACTGTTATGATTGGATGGCCACAGCAGCGCGCAGCACGACGTCTATATATGCACGTAAAGAATTTGGCCATGGATGGCGATGTGAATGCTACGAGTGAGTAGTGTTCGTGCGGTGCAGTGCGCCAGGCACAGCGCAATGGCATGGATCGGATGCCCCCGCCTAGAGCCCCTCTGACCCAACTTAAACTTGCTACAATCGGCTACCATCCACGTGCTGCTGCGCTTGGCCGATAGTGATATCATAAACCCATTTGGATCCATCCATGGAGCAAGAGATCTTTGCGTTCGTCCGTCCGGCCGAAAAGAAGGGGATTCTACCTGCTGGATGCAACTCAGGGAAGAGGAGCTACAGTGCCGAGTTACTGCTAGTAGAGAGAAACTTGGTCCAACTCTTGGTGCTGCTAGAGGAGGCATTTATTGCGCACGCCCTCCAATACATGTTGGTGGTGCGTGCGTGGTTCCATGAGGAAGGAGCAGGAGCGCAGCAAGCAGCAGAGCACATAAAATCTGCGTTTGGGAGAGACAAGCGCACGAGCAAGGGGACACACCGATACTTTGTAAGAATTTGATCCACATGGACAGGGTAGTCTGGGTGGGATTGGTAGCTGCAGCATGCTGGATTGCGGTGCTCAAGCTCGTGGAGCTCGTGGTCAAATCGTGGTGGAGGCGGAGGAGGATCTGCCAGGTGATGGAAGGCCAAGGGATTCGAGGGCCTCCGTGCAACCTGCTGGATGGGAATTACTCGGAGATAAAGAGGATGCAAGCCGAGGCTGCCGCGGTGGACATGCCGGCTCTCACGCACGACATCGTCGCCAGAGTCTTTCCCTTCCAGCACAAATGCACGCGGCTCTATGGTAGAGAAAAGAAGATCCGAGAGCTTTTTGTTGTCCTCACAAAGCTGGCTTTGTCGTTTGCCTTTGTTTGCAGGCAAGCACTTCCTGCATTGGTGGGGGCAAGATCCGATCATCCACATCACGGAGCCGGAGCTGATTGTGGAGGTTTTGTCGCTCAAGTTTGGACACTGGCAGAAGTCCTCGCAGCTGCGGCGGGCTATGGAGTTTCTGTTTGGAAAGGGCCTCCTGGTGGCAGTGGGAGAGGATTGGGTCCGCCAGAGGCACGCCGTGAATTCGGCCCTCAGCGCGGAGAAGATCAAGGTGGGTTTCTTAGTACTGCAATCTCATGGCTCTCCTTGAATCCATCATGGTTGCATTGCGCAGTGCTTTGTGGAGGTGGTGATCTGCTGCGTCAAGCCCATGGTGCGCAAGTGGGAGCAACGAGTGGAGGAAGGCGGCGAGGCGGAGGTGGAGGTGAAGCAGGACATGCTCGACATGGCCACGGAGATCATACTGCGCAGCTCCTTCGGTGACGAGTGCTACGACGAGGCCAGGAGATATCCCGAGCTGGTCTACCGCCTGCTGGGACTCACATCCAAGTCGTCTCCTTTCAACAGTCTCATCCCGAGGTACTCTGTCGGGGTTGACAGTGGCAAACACGCTGGCTGGACTTGACTTCTTGAATGGTGGCGCAGCTTTGTCCCAACCAAGAAGAATCAGCTGCTCAAAGAGATCGAGCAGTGCTTCTACCGGGTGGTGGCAACGCACACGCAGCAGCGCAACACCATCTTGAGCTCCCTGCTCGGCTGCGCAGCCAGAAGCAGCCTCAGCGTCCAGCACGTCATCGACGAGTGCAAGAACATCGTGTTTGCGGGGCACGAGACCACGGCACACATGCTCACGTGGACGATGATGCTCCTGGGCCTCCACCCCGAGTGGCAACAGCGAGCGTTTGAGGAGGTGGCGGAGGTGTGCAAGGGCCGGGATCCCACGTCGGACACGCTCAGCAAGCTCAGAGTCGTGAGTCCTTCGATCACCCCCACCCGTTTGATCGCATCGTTCTAAAAGCTGTGCTCTCGATCCTTGATGCAGATGAACATGATCGTGAACGAGTCACTGCGACTGTATCCTCCGGGAGCCCAGACCGCGCGGGAAGCTCTCAAGGACATGAAGCTGGGCGACCGCATCACCATTCCCGCCGGAGTCTCGGTGGCCATCAACATCGTCGAGGTACACCGCAGCGTGGAAATGTGGGGTGACGACGCCCTGGAATTCAAGCCGCAGCGCTTCGCAGAGGGTGTGTCGAGGGCGTGCAAGCAACCCGTGGGTGGCTATCTCCCTTTTCTACTCGGCCCGCGCGTGTGCGTCGGCCAAGGCCTGGCGCTCATGGAGGCCAAGCTCGCCCTCGTCCTCATCTTGCAGCGCTTGTCGTGGCGGCTATCGCCAAACTATCGCCACGCTCCCATTGTCGCGCTCACCCTCCAACCGCAGCACGGCATGCAACTCGTCATATCACCGAGAACACACGATCGATGATTGATTTAAACCAGTTGTGTACCTCGATCAAGCATGGTTGGCTGGCTGGTATACAGTTTTAGGAGATAAGGATTGAATACTGCCATGTCATATAGATTGAGCAGCCAAGCGACAACCGTCTTTATATCAAACCGTCTCCAATTCCTATACAACGAATGGGTGGCGGCGGCAGCGGGAGGAGAGGGGTGGTGGACAATCCTCCCGCGAGCAGCAGATGGATGATGCTGGCACTTGCCGCGGGAGCTGCCCTTGGGTTGATCACCTTAGCATCGCTGCTGCGGAGATGGCGCCGGAGGAGAGCTCTAGAGAAAGAATGGTGGTGGAGGAGATGATACGCTCCTCGTGTTTGTTTATGTACAGAGAAACCAACCATCAGGTGAACTTTGCAAACTCCTTCTGTACCATGTCACCGCCGCGGTCGGCATCGTATGCACATCTGTAGTAGCTGATGGTGACCATCAAAGTCAGTCGCGACATTTCTACCAGCTCGGTCGGTTTACCTTCCGTCGCCGCAGATGATGATAACGGTGTTCTTGGCGGCCCCAAACGCGACAATGGCTCTGCTGTCCGCTGGCAGCCGGAACTGCGCAAATGACCAGTCCGATTTCAAGTAGCTGGGAAGCACGCCTGTCGTAAAGGATGTATTCACTCGGTTGATGGAAAACAAGAAAAAAAAAGAGCATTTGTATGTATGTACGTACCTTGGACCATCGAGGAATTGGCAGCAAGAGAAAAGATGGAAGAAGCCGAGAGCCTGGGAAGGCGCCGTCGCGGTTTGTGCTCAAACTTGCTCCTGACCAGGTTGAACACATGGACGGTGCATTTGTCACTGGACACGGCGAGCCAGTGGCAATTGACAGAGAGTGCCAGGCTGAAAATCTCGGCCCGCTCGGCACCCCGGCGGAACTGCGCAGTAGAGGCAGCAAAGATGGCAGCAAAGATGAGCAAACAAAAGAAGCATTGTCTAGCACTAGTAGTAAAACTTTCAACGTACTTCGTGCAGCTTAGTTCCGTCGTTGGTGTCAAAGATGCGAACAATGGTACCTTTGACGCTTGCAGTCGCCAGTAGCCTCCCGTCTTGGCTGAGAGCCAGGCAGGCGAGGGGCGATTCGTGTGCCTGGACGAACAGCGTCTTGCCTAAGCTATACAATTCAAGCCGGACCTCACCTCCGCTCATGGTACCTGGGCACGCAAGGACAAACATAGTGGACGCCGGCGAGATCGCACACACGCCCCTCGGGTTGTCAAACGTCTCCACCTCATGCAGCGGCTTGAGATCCGACAGGCTATGGACATGGACCTTGTGCTCCAGCACAGCCACCACGGCGTCTCTCCTCAGCCTCACCGCTCTCACCTCGCTCCGGAAGAAGAGCTCGCCAATGCAGCGGCTCTGGTCGTCGTCCCAGATGATCACCTTGTTCCTGGCAGCCGCCCCCACGAGCCCCAAGATGTTGGAGCGAAACACCATCTCCACAATCCCCACGCCTCCATCCAAATCTCGCCGCAGCGTCTGCTTGAGGGGGTCGCAACTGTAGATGCGAAAGCCCACGCTCGTCGAGTACGCAAAGCACCCAGCATCCTGATTGAAGTTTACGTACTGGACCACCGCCTTCTCGCTTCCATCTTCGTCCTCCTCCACCGCCATCCACAACCAAGAACCCTAAGTTATGAGCTCTTCGTTTTCTTGCTTTGCTTTATTCCCTTTGCTTGCCTTTGCGACAGTGTCTCTAAACACGCTTTATTCTCTTTGCTTGCCTTTGCGACAGTGTCTCTAAACACGCTAACTCTCAAGACATGGGGGCCGCGTCGGCCTTCTTCCAAGGATCGTATCGGCTCCAATCTCGCTGGTTTGGGCTGAGGACATGGCCCTTGGAGTGGTATATGTACTGCTCGCCCTCGCCAGTTCGATTGGGTTGGTGCTCCAGGCCGTAGCGCTTGGGTCGCAGATCTTCCAGCTGCTCCGCCGTGTGATCGGTCACGTAGTGGAGCCAGCCATGCCACTCGGGGGGAACGTTCGAGGCGTTGTAGTATTTCTTGTCCGCGTACTCCACCCATCGCGTGCGCCCTGAAGCTCCATTCTTTCATTCTGGCTGTGAATGCCAAGACATACCTGCGGTGCCACTGGGCTTCTCGAAGTACTTGTTCCCGAATTTGTCAATGCCCACCAGCCGGGTGTCTTTGTTCCCCCACATCTTTGTGAGCCTACAAGAGCTCTAGTCAGATCTAGCAGCACTACCAAGTGAAATGAGAACTTACAAGAGATTTCCATCTACGATACAGTTCCTACAGGCACAATTTTGTCAGAGAGAAAAGAACTCAAGCTATACTCACAAGATGCCCTCCTTCTTTGCTTCTCGCCAGGCCTGTGCTAATCCCCCTTCCTTGAACGCCTTGTGCACAGCGCTTAGGAAATACTTCATGCCTGAGAATGGAAACCCTAGGTAGGAGGTAAAGGGAAGTTCGAGTTAAATGAATCATGAATCATTCAAAGAATGCGCTTGCTATATTGCTATTGTTCTAGAGCGCCCAAGAGGCATCTCTCCAGGAGGAACTCGGCATTCACCCAAGCGTGGTATTTGTCTGGAGCAAACAAAGCTTTGAGCACAGGGCCAAGAAAACAAATCAACTTACTGAAGAGAGAAGTGCAATCTTTGCCTGCTGCCTTCATCAGCATGTCCAGGCCTGTCAAACACACCTTCTCGTGAGCCAAAGCAAACTCACACTCTTTCTTCGATTACCTCCTGGGTGGAAGTTGAGGTAAGGCGTGATGTTGTACACCCGACCGCGTAGAACTGTCCATGCATCGTCTTGCTTCCTGTGTTGCTTTACTTCCTCCATAGCTATCATTCTCCTGTTGGATCGCCCCTTGAGCCCTGCGCAAAGAAGTAGTGGTATAGACATGAAGGAGAGCGCTTGAGCACGGCCAACCTGCTAGATCTGGATGGCTCTGGGTGAGCTTGAGCCAGTCCATCTGGCTGAAGCCTTTCTCAAACGGAACCTTGTTTCTCTGCTTTGGCGGCGGCATTGCCTTTGAAGACTCGGTGTTGTCAATTGTGGGTTCCGGCTCGGGAGCTTTCTCCTGGAGATGGAGCGCTTGCTATCACAACAACGACAAGACACAAAAGATTTCATTCATGCCTGAAAGAAGCTGAATTCGGTGGCACTGTCGGACGAAGCCGGCGCCTCCATGATCGCGTTCCCTTCCTTTTGACCTTAAAAAACAAATTCCTTCCCTAGAACTGGAACTCTACTTGTTCTCCTTGCGTGGAAAGACGACCGACAAGAGCACGCCGGCCATGAAAAAACCGAGCGCTGGCTGGAAGAGTAACGGCCACAGTGGGTACCAGGAATCGAGAAGTGTGGACGAGTTGAATGCCGCTTTCTCGCCCAATCCAGCCAGAAGCCATCCCAGTGCCACCACAATGAAGAAAAAGTCCACAATCAGGGCCTTGTCCACGACCTCTCGCAATGGAATGCGAGAATCCTTGTCCGTGAATGACGAAGACTGGTCGGCTTGGAAACTAGCTGGAGCATCCATGCGTCTCAAGTCTTCCTGCATCCCTCGAAGAAGCTCGTCATCCTCGCTATGTTGTTCCTGGTGTTCCTTGCTGGAACAAATCGTTGATCTTATCCGCCGACGCCATGACAGGCTCTTATCTCGAATTGTTCCCCTTGGCACTCCATGGCTGCCTGCCAAGAACATTCAAGCGCCATAGCCGATGGATGGATACGCAAACCTGAGGCTGGTCCAAAGTTCCGAGCGAAGGATGGTGTTTCCAAACCACGGAGAACCAGCATCCCTGCTGCTTGTGCTGCTGCCTTTAGGCTTAACCGCTGCTAAGTAGCTGATGGATTGATTCGATTTAAGCTCTCATCTCGGCATCCACTTCTTAAACACACCCTCCCGGAGCGGGGAAATGCCGTGCATGAGGCAGCGAAACGAAAAAAAGTATCGCCAACGCACTGTGCAGGAAAGAATCAAATCAATGCTGTACGCTCTTGTTGCAGCATGGCTTTGATGGTCTCTTCTGAAACCATCAAGTGCTCGTCGTCTTTTGCTGGTTTACAAGCCGTGCTATCGCCGTTTTCCTCTGCACGGGTGCCATGGAAGTGTGAGCAAAGGAGTAAAAGGAAAGTAAGCTCGCGCTCGCGCTCACCTTGGGCACTGTCTTCCTCCTCGATCTCGCAGATCTGTTGGGCGGCGGTGAGCTGCAAGCACTCTGGGAGGAAGCATCTGCAGAGCCAGCCTGGTGAATGGAGACGATGAAACTTTAGAACCAAAGAAGAGTAAAGACGTGGTGGTCGAGGCACTCACCGATTCTGGCGACGCGGTTCACCCAGGACGGGATCGGGTGTTTGACGAGGCGCATGGTGATGTCTTCGCTGAAATGGTTGCAGTTCTTGAGCAGCAAGTGGTAAGTGTCACCGTTGTAGTGCGAAGCCACGGTCTCGACGAACTGCCGGAGCTGGAGCGGCCCCATGGTGGTGCTGCCCAGCCGGATGCTCGTCCGGAACATGAAACCGGGGCATCTGCGCGGCTCCACTTCGAAGACGCCGCTGGTTGGGAACTCGTGAGCCCCGAACGCATACTCCACGCCGTGCACTGCCACGCCCCACTCGTTGGAACAATGCCGACTCTCACACACACTCACCTTCGACGCCGCTGTGGAAGATGCCCAGCCCAAACCAGTAGGCGTAGTCATTGTAGGCGGTGAGATCGTAGACGTTGAGGAAGACCGGCACGCTCTCCTTGTGTGGCTCTGGCGAGGGCGAGGGAGATGGAGACGGCGAGGAGGAGGAGGAGGTGGATCCGAGCTGCTGGTAGAAATTGGTGAGCCCCATCTCCCGCAAGAACCCTAACTTTGCCACACTCTGCCACGTAGCCCGGGAAGAAGAAATATACCTTGTCGAGTGTCCATACACATGGCCAAGCGACATTCTGGTGCCGCCGTCACCGTCGCCGTCGCAGTCGCAATCGCAGTCGTCGGTGGCCGGCGCAGCAGCAGTGAGATGCCCCAATGCCGTACTTTGGCGATCCTCGCAAGAGTGGCGGTAAGTGGGCCTTTTCGGAGCAGCCGCGCACCTACAAGGAGCGTTGCCACTACTGCAGCTACAATGGGAGCGACCAGGTTCGATAGCTTTCTCTCTCGACATGGGATCAAATGCGATAAAAAATGATCAAATGTGCGCGATCGTGATCGATCCCCCAACAACGTTAACGTTGCTGCATTGCAGGATATCATGTCCAAGCGGAGGATAGCGGCGCGCACCTTCGGCTTCCAGAGGCATCCGGTTTACAAGACGTCGTGCATGGTGGAGCCGTTGAGGGAGTGCACATACTACGCCCCGGAGGAGGAGCGGCTCAACAAGGACGTGGATGGCTTCATCCGGGAGATTCACGACAAGAGGCGAGGCAGGGACAAGGTATAGATCGATCGAGTTTCTGGGAATTACAAACACGAGCGACCGATATAGGATCTATATACTGATCGATTGTATTGCGTATGTGTGTGTGTGTACATGCACAGGAGATTCTGGCGTGTAACAAGGTGGCGCGAGCGTACGAGGAGTACAAGCTCGTGTGCAAGAGGGAGGAGGCGTGGGACAAGGAGAAGCTGCGCGACGAGTTTTTCCGCGTGAAACCCCACGGCAGGACCTTCTCCAACCGGAGTGCCGTCAAATACGACATCTTCACCATGGAGTACGAGGACAGCTTCTACGGAAGACAATTCAAGCACGAGGATGACTTGGCCAGGTTCGTCGTCTCGATCTCGCTCGCGCTCTCCCAAACTTTGATGCCGCCACTGCTCAAGATTGAGAACTTTCACAGGTGGCGGCAGACTCTGCGCAAGCTCTTCCTCCAGGCCCGCTCCAGCGGCGTGCCAGACTTCAACATTGTGGACTGGCGGCGGCTGCCCGCGCCGGTGGAGCCCGCGAGGCCGAGGCCGCCCGGGCCCGACCCGGCCAAGGCGCTCCACGGGCTGGAGATGCAGCGATTCAAGCCCGTGGCGGTGGAGCCCGGCGACATCGTCCCCGGCGACGGCAAGACCGCGGAGCTGCTCCACTTCTCGCCCATCCCGCACCAGCGGCCACTCGCCTCCGTCAGGGACGTCATTGTCAACGTCGAGCACCCGTGGCAGCACTGCTGCTAGCTTAGCCGTCATAAGAATATATCGGTTGCAAGGAGAATATACCGGTGGCATGGAAAATATACCGCTAGCGTCAAGTGAAATAAAACTATTCCAGGGAAAAAAAGAAATTCACATAAATGGCGAGAAACATGATAGGCTAGCAAGGCAGTGGGAAGAAAGAAGGGGTGCGACCATATTGACCCCTATTTTCTCCCTTCCCTTGTCTCTCTCTCTCTCTCTCTCGCTCGTCCCCTCTCTCCTCCAAGCCCCACGCATCACACACACACACACACTCCTCTCTAATCACAGGGCGCGCAAGGGGATAGGTCGTGGCGGGCGAGATCTGGCGAGATCCCCTCCCATTTCCGGCGACTGGGGCGGGATGGAGATGAATGGCGGGTGAGGAGGGAGAGGGGCTTCATCTTGGCGCTTGCTAGGTAACGACGGCGGCGGAGGAGGGCGAGGGCAGAGGGCGAGGGCGCGGCCGCCATGGATGGGAGGTGTGGTAGAATACACATGTGATGCGCGGCGCCAAGAGCTTGTTCGTCTCAGGTCTCTCTCTCTCTCTCTCTCTCTCTTCGCTCGCTCGCTCTTTCCTTGCGATTTGCGGTTAACCCTCTCCTTGTTTGCGTGCTTGCCTCTCGCTATCTTCCATTGCTTGCTGCTCGGTGTAGGGTTTTTGGTGGCATACTTGGATCTGGATGTCCATTTTGCTAACATGGCATGGCAAATCTTGTGCGTGGGCAGCTCCTCCTAGTGACTGGATAAGCGGCAGCACCACCACCAACGAGGAGGAGGCAAGAGCAGCGTATGGCATCAGCTAGCGTGGGACCTGTGGGTGCCATCAGAGGAAGCACCAGCGCAATTGTGGTCTCCAAGGTTGGTGGTAGCGGCGTTGATCAGCTCCCCGAAGAGATGCACGAAATGAAGATACGGGACGACAAGACGGACCATTCCGACGATAAGGTATTCGCTGGTTGATAGATTGATATCTCACCATCTTTTTCTTTTATCTTTTTTTTTTCCTTTTGCTCCAGGAATTGGAAGCCACTGTCGTCGATGGCAATGGCACAGAGACTGGCCACATTATAGCTACGACGATAGGAGGCCGCAATGGCCAGCCAAAGCAGGTATTTTTATTCTTCTCAGCTTCTCGGAGTGGGAGTAGTGACAGTGGTCTCTTCTCCAGACGATTAGCTATGTCGCGGAACGTGTTGTAGGAACCGGATCGTTTGGCATCGTCTTCCAGGTGTGCAAACTCGCTTTAATCATTCTAGGCTAACGTTTCTTCCTGTTGGGCTTCACTTTAGGCCAAGTGCCTCGAAACAGGAGAGACGGTGGCTATCAAGAAGGTGTTACAGGACAAGAGATACAAAAACCGGGAGCTGCAAATAATGCGCCTTCTTGACCATCCCAACATCGTTGCTCTCAAGCACTGCTTCTTCTCCACTACTGACAAGGACGAGCTCTATCTCAACTTAGTCCTCGAGTATGTTCCGGAAACCGTGTATCGCATCGCAAAGCATCACAACAGAATGAATCAGAGAATGCCACTCTTGTATGTAAAGTTGTATACATACCAGGTAAGCTTGCAAGCGTTTCTTTACCACTTCCTTATCCATTCCCGTTTCTTCTTCGTAGATATGCCGATCTCTCGCTTACATCCACGGCGGGATTGGAGTCTGCCACCGTGATATCAAGCCACAAAATTTATTGGTAGGAGGTCCTTGTCCTTAGGATTGATTTGTACTTACTGCTTTTGTTGTAAGTACAGGTTAATCCCCATACACACCAGCTGAAGCTATGTGATTTTGGCAGCGCCAAAGTGCTGGTGAGTGCTGTCGAATTCCTTTCTTTCACGTTTGATGTAAACTTGTTTTGGTTTTTTAGGTGAAAGGGGAACCGAACATCTCTTACATATGTTCCAGATACTACCGAGCGCCCGAGCTGATTTTCGGTGCCACGGAATACACAACAGCAATTGATATCTGGTCGATGGGATGTGTGTTGGCTGAACTGCTACTTGGTCAGGTGTGCTTTGCTTGTTTGAGGTATTAGAAGACATCCTTACCACTTGTGAATGTTCTACAGCCGCTATTTCCAGGAGAAAGTGGCGTCGACCAGCTGGTGGAGATTATCAAGGTTGGCTCGTTGTTTTTGCCTTATGGTGGCTGGGCGCTCATAAAGTTGGACTTGGGCAGGTTCTTGGAACCCCTACTCGCGAGGAGATCAAGTGTATGAATCCCAACTACACGGAATTCAAGTTCCCTCAAATCAAGGCCCACCCTTGGCACAAGGTGCGTAGGCAACTTCTTTGTTGGGGCGGTCGTTTACGTAGTAACGTGGCAGGTGTTTCACAAGAGAATGCCTCCGGAGGCTGTGGATCTTGTCTCGAGACTACTCCAATACTCGCCTAATCTGCGCTGTAGTTCAGTAAGTTTCTCCCAAATCGTCCACTTTGAAGAGCACTGACACTGGTGGTATACACTTCACAGCTAGAAGCGCTTGCACACCCATTCTTTGATGAGTTGCGGGATCCTAACACTCGACTTCCAAATGGTCGTCCGCTACCACCTCTGTACAATTTCAAGCAATTGGGTGAGTGCCTGTCTCCTGCTTCTATTCCTTTCAGGCTTGAAGTCGCGTTTTTCGTTGCACAGAATTGAAAGGGGCCTCGCCAGAGCTGTTAAATCGCCTCGTTCCCGAACACGCGCGTAAGCAGGTGCCTTTCCTCGCTCTATAACCTGTGCCCCAGACTGGAAGAGAGAGAGAGAGCTGGGTGGGATCATCTTCTTCTTAACAGGTGTCCATCAAGCTGCCGCTGGTGGTCTTCCTTTTTATCCTTAATTCTCAATGCTGGTGTTGGTAAGCTAGCTAGTATGACACCAAAGTGGCTGGTTGCTTTTTTTTTCTCCTTTTTTGTACCTTGAGAGTTACCTATCTAATGTGCTTGCTGCTCTTGTATCACTTGTGTGTGTTAGCAGTAATCTCCGAAATGAATTGTTCTTCTCTGCGCCGTACTTGGAGTGTACAGCACGGCACGCTACGGAGGTGCACGGCCTACCGTAGTTGGTCAAAGTAGGCGGCGCGCCGTTCAACGGCCAGCTCGCGCGCGACTCGACTTGAGTTGACTGAGGTTATGAGGGTGATTTGCCAAAGCAAGAAGTTAACGTCCATGTTTTTTATACATTTTACCAGTAATCTCCACAGTGGCAGCGGCCGTGTAAAAAGTGGTGGAAGCGCTTGGTGTCCCTGACGACAATCTCTCTTTCGAGGATGCTCGACAGGAGCTTGAATGCATTGTGGCAATCACCACACATGCGAAGGTTCTTGATGATCCGAAGCGTGCTACGGGGCTTAGTACTACTGACCACCCCAAAAGCAATTGCCAGCTTTTCACTGTGGCAGAAGAGCAGCTGCTCCTTGAGCTCCTCCTCGACGTCTTGCAGAACGAGGCTCGTGTTTGGAACGTAACCGGCGCCCTTGAGAAGCAGCGCCAGGCGGTGGAGCTCCGCATAGATGGCTTCACTCTTGGGATGCGAGCAATCCTTGGCAGTGAAGACATGGACTTTGTTCCTCACCTCGATGGAGCTCCACCCGGCTTCCTTGGCTAAGCCCCGACGAGCCATGAGCTCTCTAACACCGGCAGCATCGTCCCATCTCCCTTGCGCCGCGTACATGTTGGACATGAGGATGTAGGCCCCGACGTAGGCCGGATTGAGTTCCATAACTCGCTGCGCAGCTCGTCGCCCGCGCTCCCAGTCACCATAATTCCTGCAAGCACCCACCAGGCTCATCCACACTATGTCGTCTGGCGCGCACGGCATCATGCTCGTGATGAAACGCTCCGCATAGCCGAGATAGCCGGAGCGAGCCAGCAAGTCCACAATGCAGCCGCAGTGCTGAGTGGAGACTGGCACGGCGAAGTCGGTGCCATGAAGCATGGCCGCGTAGAGGGAGCAGCCGGTTTTCAGCAGCGCTGGGTGGCGGGCGCAGGTGGCGAGGAGGCTAGTCAAGGTGATGGCGTCGGGCGAAATGCCTGCGAGGAGCATGTGTGAGAAGAGCCACAGCGCGGCAGGATGGCCCTGCTGGGCAAATGCGGCGAGCATGGAGTTCCACGAGACGAGGTTAGCGGGGGCGGAGCTGGACGTGAAAAAGATGCCGGCAGCATGGTCAAGAGCCCCACATCTCCCATACATGCTCACCAGGGCGTTTTGCACGACGGGGTCTTCGGCAACGCCGGCCTCGCGAACGTGTGAGTGGCAGAAGCGTGCCTGGCCGAGCGCCGCCACCGCAGCGCATGCCGAGGCGACGGTGGCGAGAGTAACGGCGTTGGGCTTGGCACCCGACAGCAGCATCCGGCGGTATAGCAGCAGCGCTTCGAGAGAATGGCCGCTCTGGGAGGTGACAGAGATGATGGAGGTCCAGGTTACCACGTTTGGTTGCTCCATGCGCTCAAACACCGCTCGCGCTTCTTGCAGGCTGCCGCATTTGGCGTACATGTTGACGACAGCGGTCTCCATGACGAGGTCTCTGCCTCCATCGAACTCCAGAATGTGCGAGTGGAGCATGCGGCCTTGGGCGAGGCTTAACTCGGGGGAATTGAGCAACGCCACAAAGGTTACCTTGTCCGGCGCCATCCCCTCGAGCTGCATTCTCCGGTACAGGCTTAACGCCTCCTGCGAATGCCCGTTGTCGGCAAATGCGGTGATGATACCAGTCCAAGACACCACGTCCCTTTTTTGCAGCTCGATTGCTTCAAACGCATCTACTGCTTCTCCCACACATCCGTGTGCTGCGTACATCTTCACCAACGCTGTGGCAATCACGACGTGAGAGGCCAGGCCACAGTCTCGGATTCGAGCGTGGATTCTCCTTCCTATGGGCAGCAGCAAGGCTCGCTTGCCTCCAGCGCAGGCATTGACAACCGTGGTGAATGTGAAGCCGTCGGGCATGACGCCGTCAAGCTGCATCTCGTGAAGCATCCCAACTGCTTTTCTGTGTTGCCCAGACTGGGCAAATGCTGCAATCATGTTGGTCCACAAAATGACGTCCCTGCATGGCATTTCATCCATTGTCCGGCGCGCATCCTCCAAGCAACCGCAACGAAGGTACATGTCCACTACGTGATTCCCAAGGAAAGAATCCAATCCCACCCCGGCCGTCTTGATCTCCTCCAATATCCCCTTCCCTTTCCACAGGATAACGTCCGCTGGATCATCCGTGCTATTGTAGCAGTCGCGGAGCATTCGAGCGTAGTAACGGTTCTCATGCTGTTTCGCATTCTTTGGGGCGTGAGGAGCCAACTCAATACAAAAGTCTGGACAAGTAGACATCCAAGATCCTCACCACCTTTCTCAAGAACAGCTTCTCATCAGACCTGTACTTCAATGCCGACTTCCATCTCACGGACTTGTCCTCTCCAGCTGCCGCTGTTGGAAAGCCCAAAAGTGAGCTACGCGAAGACCGAAAACCAAGAAAGAAGAGACTCCTTACCCATGAGCTTCACATCTTGTTCGTAGCTACTTGGATATGCTGACAGTAGCTGCCGGCATTCCTTCTGTAGCTCCCTCACGGCTCGCTTTTCCATGCTAGGCAGAAACGGGAGATCCGCATCCGACCACATCGGGAGAATCCGAGCTGCTGCAAGAACAGCTCCATCTGCCATGGGATCGTCTGTGCCTGTGACGAGCAGCAAAGATGCTTGTCACGGGTTTGAAAAGAGCAGCGCATACCTCTCAGGTAGTAATTTGGCCCCAGCCCACTGATCCCAAACGCAGATAGGAATGAGTCCCTGTGGATGGAAACCGAGCCACTGAACTGGACAACATTCCAAGGATTCTGCAAAAGAAAGAACCACTTTGGTCATCGTTGTTTGTGTAGAGCGTTGTCTATACCACTGGTGAAGAGAAGCCAAACCGGTGCATGTAGTCTCGCGTCGGCTTCTTTGGCAAGTAGTCAAGCGTCATCTGCTCATACACGGAACTTTTAGCTGCGTGTGAGAAAAAAGAAACACACTAACCTCGTCTCCCTCTCTAATCGTCTGCCCGGCCTTGACCACCACTTCGAGCACCCGATCGCAGGCTCGCCATCGCAAGGAACAAGTTGGTTGAAACGAGTGATTTAGCATATCTACGCACACCGAGAGAAGAAAAACAAACGAGAATTACGATGACCATCAAAGTATGTGGTGTTACCAGCGTAGGGGGAGATTATGTTGGCAACTTGGACTTTAGAACCGATCTTCATGGTGAGTGTGTGCGAGCGTGACCTTGCCATGCCAACGGCCCATTTGAACCTGTCGCTGTCTCGGGCCAAGCGTTTTAGCTTCAAAGGCGCCCCCGGATGCTGCCACGAGGAAGTAAAACTCAGCTATGATCTCTGGAAATGTTACAAGTCTACTCACAAAACACTCCTCCCATTTCTTCTGAATCTTCTCCTGCTCGTCCTTGATGCACTGAGACAGCACGGAATCTTGTAGCGCGTCAAGTTCTTCCTGAGGGACAAAAGAGAAACCATGGTTTCCTTGAGAAGATCTGACAACCAGCTTACCTCGGTTGCAAGAAGCAAGTCCGTGCTCTCTGCCTGATTTGGAAGATAGTCTCCGTAAAGCCTCCAGAAGTTGCCGTCTTGCTCGAGCGCCAGCAGCAGGAGGCACCCCAGCCTGATATCGTAGTCAGTCTGGAATGAAAAAACTCTCAGTCCACAGAGACCGTGTAACTCCCTGGCACTCACCTCGGGATCAGTCGAGTTGATAACATCAAACACTGGGTGACCGATTGGTACAATATCCGGGAAGAACATCCAAGGGAGATTGCTGCTCACGGTGACAAGTATCTCCATGGGTACTTCGAGTATAACCTGTGGAGGAAGAGAGAAGGATGGATAAGTTCTTTGGTCAGAGTTTCATGTCCCAGAAAGCAATCCAGACTTACCCACCCTTGGCCTCTCAATGTCGGTCATGTCTTTGGCAGCATACACTCCAACTCCATCCGGCCCTTCCTTGAAGTGGACACCGTATGCTCGGACGTGGCGGAGGTGCCCGATTGTGTAGTACTCGGGCTGCATCAGCTCCACTCCCTGCCTCGCCTCCTCCACTTGAGGCTGGGGCGGCGCAGCCACCATTGCTGCTGCTGCCGCTACTCTCCTCCTCCCACATTTTAAGCCTCTCCCACATATGGATTTGGAGCTGGCAAACCTGTCCAGCGATGGCACCAATGGCGCTGCTGCTGCTGCTGCTACCAGATGATATCCCATCCAAGAGCAAAGAGAACGCGCGCTTCTCAAGACTCCATATTTTTCTATCGCTTGCCCTAGTTAGGGCTGCTCGGGTGTGAGCGATGACAATGGCGCGCGCGCGTGCGCGGCTGCCATCTCTCCACTTGCGTAAGTCGCGCTTACATCCATCGCTCTAAATTACACTCTTCTTCTCCAGCAGGAGGAGCTGGCGAAGCATTCTCTTTTGTTGCCAGGTACTTGTTTCCTTCTCTCTCCTTTCTTCTAAGCTTGTCACTCCAGGCGAATGCAACACTCGGACAAGGGCATGATCGGGACCACGGTTCTTTGCATCCGCAAGAATGACTCGGTGGTGATAATCGGGGACGGGCAAGTCACCATGGGCGCCGAGATACTCAAGCCCAACGTACGTAAGGTCCGAAGGATTGGGGAGAATGTGATCGGAGGCTTTGCAGGTAGCGCTTTGCTTGATTGAGCTTACATAGCCATGACAATGGATTGATTGATCGAGCAGGCGCCACCGCTGATGCTTTCACTCTGTTTGAAAGGCTGGAGACGAAGCTGGAAGAACACCCTGGTCTGTCTCACGAAAAAAAGTCCCGTTTGTCCCCTGAAAGCTTGTTTTGATCTCAGGCCAGGTACCGCACTTTGTTCGTGGATCGAGAGCTTGAAAAAATTTATCTTGTGAGCAATGGCAGCTAACGCGGGCTGCGGTGGAGCTTGCAAAAGCATGGAGAACTGACAAGTTCCTTCGAAGGCT